AAAAAAAAAAAAAAAAATGACAGTCACCACTTGTACGATTTATCTATCCAATACTATAACTTTTTTGTTATTCATATCATACAATGAACATGATAGATCTGATTTATTTGATAAATAATTTATTATTTTTATTAATATTTATAAATAATTTAATTTTACTAGAAAAGTAAATATAATAATTTATTATTTATTTATATATGCAAGATAAATGTAAAATCAAACTCGTCATAATGATTTATTCGGTATATTATGTATGAAAAATAGATAACAAATAGAATATTTGTTAATTTTTAAAATATATTTATACTTTAAGTTAATCATGTTTTATATAATTCTAAAAGTACAAAATAGGCTTGAAAAAAATCAAACTTATATGGACTTCGAAAACACCGGAAATTGACACGAAACACCACATAACATACAATTACAAAGCACCGAAAGAGTTAACACATAAACACGAAAACTTGCATTTAGGTTGATATAGCAACCATAATCACTCGACGGATCGGTTAATGTTATTAGTTCGAGTCAACCGCACTGGGATGGCTTCTAGCTCGGAGTAGGGGTAAGAACCTATCAAGGAGCTCGATATGACAACTAGAAGTACGAGTTGGCTCTGGTTACGGCTAGCAAGTTGGGATCATCTATGAGCTCAGGCAAAGAAGGGGTTGTCACGACCTGAAGGTCGTGTAACAAAGGTCGTATAAGCAACCTAATAAGGCTTATGGTGCGAGACTCATGAGAACAATGCAATGACTTAAGGACATATTGCATCCTAGTAAAAAAGAAAATAAAGTCTTACTAGGATGGATGATGGTAAGTATATCTCGCTAAGGTGTAGAAGATCTTAGTAATGTGTTATACTAAGAAACGAAATACAAAAATATTTATTTCCTAGTGATTAGGTTAAGAGGGTAAGAAGATAACCTCCTTCTAAAAGGAGATTACCAGATTCTTTTACAACTTAACGCATATTATATTTTACATCTCAATTTTACCAAGTTCATGAGCGGGATCTAACTTGAGTGTCAGTGGTTCTTCTGTTAGGACCCTCCCCGCATAATTTGCAGGTCATCGGAGCTCATGTTGAAGGATGGTTCGTGAGTTTGCCATTCTGAAATTCAGTTTAGGGGCAATTTTCATATCAAATTGACATCGTCTGTCGAAAAATCTAGCCTTTTACTAGTTGACAAATGACTTGCTTTTCTCATAATTTCAAAGTCAACGAATCATGACCCATGATAGTTCCTGAAAAAACTTAGACAAGGACATGGAGGAAGCTTCAGCTTCACAAGTCCCTATGGGAATGAGACCACTGGCCAGTTGGTCAAAAGGAACCAGTACCTAAGTCACGCCAAGGGTTAGCCTGTCTGTGCCAGCTTGACCCTGGTCGTGAACCCTGTGGCACGATTTACTCCGAGGTTGGGGTAGCCCATTTCTTGTTTTTGGAGACCCCACCCCTTTTCTCTTTGGCAAGTTGTTTCCGACTTAGGTGCTCGAGTTTCTTTGGTAGCTCGTGGCAGACTCCTTTGCGCCTAACGACGAAAGTTGCAGCACCTCGGAGGTTGCATTAAGCGCTTCCTCGGGGGTGACCTCCTTGCGCTGGAGGTCGACACTGATAATGATGAAATTGTCTTAATGACTCTGCTAAAAGTAATGATAAGATACATGAATAGAAGATACATGACTCTGCTATGATGAAATTATATTAATGACTCTGCATTTTAAGGGCATAGCAATAGAATGTGAATTCAAATCTAGAGTTTGAAGTCGACATTTGTTGAGAATTCAGGATCTAAAGTTTGAAATCAACATTTTTTGAGTATGGTGAATCCAAACATAAGATGTATGGAGTTGGTAGATAAATAGTTTAGTGGAAGACGATAAAGTTGACTAAATTGGACCAGGTATTCTTGTAAAGAGAACTTGAGGGCACTGTAGACCTGGTCCACGAAGAAGGTATAAAAACTTGAGGGGGCTGTTCGAAGATGCTAAGCTTAAGATCTTTGAAGGCCTAGGATTTTGGGAGGTTGCTATGGTGTATAAATAAGGTTATTTGTTCAGATGACATTTATATATATAAAAGGAATGACTTTAATGAGCTTGACTGCCTCGGGCTCCACCTCGACCCTTCTACCCTCAACTATGGGAATTTACGCATACATTTCTCTAGCTTGACAAACTTAATAGGAAAACCTTCTAGCGTATGAGAACGCTCGGACTGCACAGTATAGCTATCCACTGGGTCCTCGAGCTCAACCCAGAAAACATCATCGGTTGGCTCGTCTACTAAGCGAACATGCAATCTATAGGCTAGCATTGGGGTATTCGGGATAGGGATTACAGTATACAAGTCGAAGAAGTAGAGTTTGAGTTAGTACTATCTGATGACGAGTCAGAAGATTGGTCGGAATTTTACATGATTATAATAATAAAGAGACTAAGGAAAAAAAAAGTACATAAATGAAAAATTGGCTATAGAATACAGGGCTACATCTAAAGATACAATTGATTCAAAGGGTGGTGTATATACCCATGATAATTGTCGAAAGAACTGCAAGTAGTTGCTGGAGATCGGGGAACAGTGGAAGAATTTGCAATTTTCCAGAATTTGTGAGGTTGTATTGCTGAGAATTGGAGAATATCGAGTAGCAAATGGTTGAAATGAATAAGATGGTTCTCTTTATAAAGAATGTGTGCAGCGTTTGGATGTGTTGTGTGGAGAGAGCAATGAATATGGAAGGAGATAAAATGTTCTCTGTGAAAACGTGTACGAGGGTTTAAAACATCTCTGACGTTCACCCTTTCTGAAGTTGGCCGATGAAGTGCATTTAATGCCACCAAGAAAAATTAAGACGAAAATGTTTTGGTATTCCAGAACTAGTTTTGGAAGTTATTTCGAGAATATTATACAATATATAGAACGCATAATAGCTCGATGGATAGGTTAGAGTGGTTAGCTTGGGTCAACCGGTACAAGATAGCTTATACCATGACAGTAGGGTTTGACAGAGTCCTACTAGGATGGTAAGTATATCTCGCTGGGGAATAGAAGATCTCATAGACGTGTTATACTAGAAAACAAAATATGAAAATATTTATTTTCTAGTGATGAGGTTATGTGGATAGGAAGACTCTCTATATATGAAATAAAGTTACCAGGATCTTTTACAACTTAATGCATAACATATTTTACATCCCAGTTTTATCAAATTTACTAGCGAGATTTAACTTAAGAGTCCAAGATTTTTAAACCTGGACCACTCGTGCCGTACTTTGCAGTTCACGTAACTCAAGTTGAAGAACAGTTCGTGACGTTGTCGTTCTGAAATCATGTTTGGAGGCAATTTGAGTATGTATGGCTAAAAACTATTACTGTTACATTCATTTTCATAATTCGATCACACCATTTACGACTACTAGGTTTTTTTGTTTTTGTTGTTATTATTATTATTAAGGTCAACCCTGAGGTGGGACGGGCCGGGCGACCACCCAGGGCCCCTGTTACACCAGGGCCCACTTTTATATATTTTAAAATATATATATATATATTAATTATGTAATAAAATATTCAACACAAAATTAATCTTAAATCTTTTTGATTTTATACTTTACTCGAGATTTTTCATATTTTATCTACTTTACAGAACTCATGAAAAATTAAAATATGAGGTTTTGTTAGTAAAATAATATCTTTTTACATATTTTCTCTTATTCTGCTAATGCTTTATATTTTTCTCTTCTTGCTAGAATATAAAAAATATTATTTTTTGATTGTACAATTCAGTTACGTTAGTGATTGTCACTAAAAAAGTTAAGTGAAACAACCCATTTTAAGACAAGTTTCAATATAGATTTGTTATTTAACTTTGTTAAATATGAAATAAAAATTAATGCACCCCAAAAAAAAAAATCTATATAATTGTAATTGAGTATTATGCACTCAAAAGGGAAGTTTTGAGCTTTGACTGTTTATTTTATACTTTGAATGAAAACGTTTTTTTCTTTTCTTTTCATATATGTGATTCTTAAAAAATTTCTCAAAATTTATTTATAAAATTTAGCCGTACTTTTATTTAAATTTCAATGTTTTTATTATGGTGAGTTACATTATTTTTCTTTATATTTTATTAGCTTAAGAAATATAAAAACAATCAGATACAACATTTAACACATTTCGTCCGGGTCTTTCAAATTTCAAGGCCGACTCTGATTACCATTGAAAAAGAAAATCTCTTACCCGTTAAGATGCCACTGGCCTCGAATAGTGCCACCAAGGAGGCTAGGGTCCGCACAAGTGGGCTTTCCGTTGACCTGATTGTAAGAGCACATTACGCTTGCAACTTTGCCTTCAATCACACAAGTCTTGAAAGGCACATTATATGTTTCCTCCAAATCCTGTTCGGTTACCTGCATGAGATTAAGTTCAAGGCTAGTTTAAGAACATCAAGGGTTTGAGAACTTTTTTTGGTTGCAACAACAAATATATATTTGATTATCTTCTAAACACACACATATATATTGTTACCACAATGAAACGTAACAACTGTTATACTACATTTATCCGTGATCCGACTCTTGGGTCACGAAGATGACGACCAAAAAAATAAATAAAAGGAAAATGCCATGAATGTTGGCGGCTCATGTCACAATATGACCTTGGGTAGTAACTGGGGTTCTTGCCTGGAATGAGATAGTTGTGTCATTCCTATTGGACAAATGTATTTTTTTCATAAGATAATTTATAATAAAAAAAATGCCAAAATTCCTATCCTGTCGTTCTCTACAAATATTAGATACCACATTTGATAGATTTTGGAACACAATTACAGTTTCTCTATTTTAATTGATTTCAATATTCTATTTCAATTTTTGTAATTCAATTTTTAATTGAGTTCGTAACTATTTCAATCGTATAGTAAAATATCAATTAATTTGTTGACGTCATTACGAATTTAATTATAGATTTTTAAATAGTTTTTTCACAATTAAAATAATAACAAATATCAATTGTAGATAATACTCAATAAATAAATAGATAGATAAAAATAAAATAAATATTTTAGATTAAGTTAGGTTGTGGATAAAGATAAGTTTTAAATTGTGCAGGTGGAGGAGAGAGAAATATTTTTTACTTATTATACTGTTTTGGGTTGAGTTAGAGATAAAAGTGGTCTCAAAACGTGTGGAGGATTTCAAATTAGGGGCAAGAGTAGATAAAAAATTAAAACTTCAAATATGTGCAGCTTTCTTTTTTTTTTTTCCCCTCAAACATCAAATATAAATAAAAAACCATTTTTTTTTCTTGAATAAAAACCAACTTATAAGTTGGTTTGTTCAAAGACAAGCTTAAGAATAAGTTGGTAAATTGGTTAGTGGGAAAGATATTGAGATTCTATGAAAGGTGCAACATAAAAGTTGAAAGGAGAAATATTAAAATTTTATAAAATCAAAAGTAAAATTTGAGTAGGTAATGGCCCCATATTTACACTTAATTAATCCCTCCTCGTTGCTACAGTGGCAATAATTTGTTTGATTAAAAATAATAAGGGAAAACAAGTCAAATTTTGGTGTTGGTGCCTCTTTATGTCACATGGTTTAAGGCTATGTTTGCTAAACTTAGTTGATAAGTTAGTTTATAGCCTTTAAGTGAATATCGAGCACACAACTTATGACTTATCATTGAAAAATTAGCTTATATGATAAAAGTGTGGTAAATTTAGCTGACAAGATAGCTGAAATAAAAATTTAACGAGCTGATTTGTAAAGCTACCCAAAAAAGTTTATAAGATAACATCGAACTTTTTAAAAAGTCTCGTACTACCAAACACAACTTATTTAAATACATAAAACATATAAGCTAGCTTATTTAATTATCAAACATAATATAAATACATTATATATTCATATATTATTATCTTCATAGTAAACGAGTAATTGCATTTTCATTCACCATTTTTACATTAATTACAATTTCATCCCTTATTTATTTCGATTTTCAATGTAGTATATTTTCGTATATTTTGGTAATTTTCATCCAATTCGAGATTCCAGCCTCATTTTACGTGACGCACAGTCGGTCCCATTAATGATTTTGTGACGTGGCCTCCATATCGCCAAGTCCTAATGATTATGACAGACTTTTACGAAGTACCTGCGCACAACATTCGACTCAGCTTCCAGATCAACAGTACGCTTCCCCTGCCTTTGATAACCCCTCATATTGTCCTCACCACCCCCACATGGCGGAGAGCCTCCACGGCTGAAAAACCTAACCTGAAACTTGATCCTCTTGATATACCGCCAATGTGGGCATACACGTGCTTGAATAATTTCAAATATCCATGTGCCGCCTCTTTAGTAAAAAATTCTCTTGTTTCCATCCCAATTTGAGCTCGAGTCAGGCGATTCGTATTTCAATTTCCCTCCAAGTTCGTGTCCGGCTGCCGAGATCTTATGCTCTACTATCCCTATCAAACAAAGAAAATAATGGCCCATTGATCCACTCGATGGCGAACACCTCATCGTCGATCGATGATCCCAAATTCTTGAATTCCACAGATTTGATGACCACTATTTCATCTAGTTTATTTGAATGGCTAAGGTTCGTCGAAATAATTTCTGTTGACATAATACTTCTTATTTTTGTTTTGTTTTTGTTTTTTTTTTACTATAATTCACATATTCGATACAACTTGGCAGTGTGGGCGTTACATCATGCCAGGAAATCATAAATGGCATCGACAAGGCGTCAGATCAACACTTCTGATGGAAATGAGAGACGTAATCTCAAATTGGAAAAAAATACCACAAAAAATATTATACTGGAACTCAAAAAAAATAAAGGACGAAAGTGCAACTATGACAAACCTAATGTGCGAAGGTGCAATTTTTCCATAGAAATAATGTCGAAAATTAGTGTAAAATGCAATAGTATAAATATATCATTAATGATGTTTCACATACGCACCACGGCATTGAAATAGTAGCGCTTGACTCGGTTCCAAGAATCGAGATCGTAGGCGGTGAAGTGCTTGCAACAAGCGGCAACTTTTAACTTATTTTTGGTGTCGTTGCCTTGCAACCCCCTCACATAGCTAACTGCGTATTGGGAGGTTAACCACGGGTCCTCACCAGGCGTCTCTTGGCCTCGGCCCCACCGTGGGTCTCGAAAAATATTCACATTCGGGCTCCAAAAGGTTAGCCCGGCCTGGCCTCCATTGTACATTGCCCTGCCCTCCGTAGAAACCACCTGAAAATTGTATAGCAAATATTTCAGGGCAGTGTGTAAGTTAATTACTAATTAATTTCAACAAAAAAACAAATGAAATTATTTGAACCACATTTTAATTTTATTTCATATTAAATGTTTGAATTATAAATGTTATATTTGTTAAAAACTGAGCGTCGAGTTACAATGAGAATCTTATGTACTGAATTGATATGTTTTAGTTCTTAAAATTTGAACTAATAATAGAAAAACAATACAAGAAATCTTGATGCGGGAAGAGAGTAAGTCGAGGCGAGAGTTGCACTTCTAACAAAATGAGTACACCCCATAATATATTAATAGATTCAGGCGTCTCATCTCATAAGATACAACTAGTACTTTTTAGAGGTTGTAGCACTTTAAGAATTCTGAGCTCTGGTGAACTTGAACGGAAAATAACTTACCACTATTTATAATTGTTCAAGTGTGATTTTACACCATATTCATATAGTATCTAGAGCTTAATTGTTGCATTTGTGGTGTATAAATTGCATATTTGTGCTTTAATTCTCTATTTGTTGGAAAGGTATTACGCGTGCTCGTTTTGTAGATATTTCCACATATTTGTAGAGCTTTGGCTATTGGAGGAGCATGGTGAGTGCCTAAGACTCCCGTGATGATGATAGATAGATGCACGGGTGTGAAAAATGGAAGAAACGAGCAAAACGGATAAAAACGTGCATGCTGAGATGTGACACGGGCTGTGACACGACCAACCAGCCCGTGTCAGAGGCCATGTCACCTCGCCAGGTACCTGACACGACCCGTGACACGACCTGTGACACGGTCGTGTCAGGCCGTGTCGCGACGCGGGCAGTTTTTAATCGCTTACCTTTTTCACTTAGGAGAGGACTTTTGGACTTATAAAAAGACCTATTTACCTGATCTTGAGCCCTAGAACGTGATTACGGAAGGAAGAGAGCCAGAGAACACGCAAGAGAAGCAATTGGGAAGAAGAGAAGATCGACGACAAGCTTACTAGTTTTTTTTTCTATCTTTTGAACTTGTTTTCTCATGTTGATTTTGAATATGTCTATGTATTTGATTTCAAACATGAGTAGCTAATCTTCTTTGATTCTAAGACATGGTAGTAGATTAATAGTTTGGGATTTTTGGATGATTTATTATAATTGATCGTTTTCTTTTGAACCCTATTCAAATATTTCGTGCTTATTTCATGAATTGCAACTGGCCATTGCTTTTACATGTTTGATGATATTGTTCATAATTCGAGAGATGAGTTCAATATAAGATCTTTAATATTTGACACAATTTGTTTACTTGAATCGAGAGATTAGTAGATAGTTGTGAGGATTTTTGGTCTTTTAATCTATTTGGAGTTGAATTGCATGTGTTGAGTGGAGATGCTAATATATGTGATTTAATCTACGGTTTTATCGATCTCGAGAGGGACGATAGGCTAATTTCGTGATCATCTTATAGGGTAGATAAAGAAAATAATTAATTGTGATATATCTGAAGGAACCCAACTGTTAATTGAACCCATAGTCTTAGAATCTACCATTCCCATATATTCTTCTTAAGTGTTTTTCTAGTTGTTTTCTTGTTATTGCTTTCTCATCTTTTGATTTATTTTCTTAGTTTAAGTTAATCAATCTCATATTACGATCGTCTAAATAAAGTTGACACTATCATAATCTGGTACTTGATTAATTGGTTGTTTGGTCTCTTGGGATACGACCTTGCTTGCCACATACTACGAGCAAAGCCGTACACTTGCGATAGAGCTTTAAAAATATAGGCGAACAATAATGTTCGAGACTTTTAGATCTTAAGAGTTCAGATGAGGTATGAGTGTGTTATGCAGCTCTGGACTTGTCCGTTTTACAGGATTCCTAGCTCAGGTAGGGAATTAAAACGGTCATCTACCAGTTAAGGCAGGTAATTGGACTGTTTTATCAATTAATAATGCATCACCTATCTTCGCATACTCTTCATCTGGAGTCAAAACGTGTAGATCCATTGTATCTATAGAGGTCCAAACGATTTGGGCCGATACCCAACTAAAATTCGGTTATTTTCTAGGGCATAAAATTAGAAAGAGTTTTGCAGCAAAAAGGTGACAATGAATGAGCCCAAGGCCCTAGGCCAACACCGACCCAAACAATCTAAGGTCGCCCAAGTCCAACCTGCAGTCCAATTGCCAAGTTCCAAGGACCAAAGTCCCATATCCAAGATACAAGGCCAAAGCCAAAGCCCTTGCTCATGCCCATGCTGAGTCGATTGGCCGGCGAGCAAACATGGGCATGCGTGTGGCTGAAGCCAATACCGACACTTGATTCATAGCTTTAGTTGTTGTGACTTCTACAACATTTTTTTTATAATAAAGAGAAATATTCTCATTTAAACCTTGGCGAAAGTTTCACTTTATACAAGACGAATACATCATGTAGTGTTAACTGAATTAAGCGTCTTGTTTCCAGACATACGATGGATATGTCTCATAAGTTGTAGCTCTTTCAAAATTTCAAGCTTCGGGGAACTTGAACGGAGCAAGAACTAAGAACTATGTATGATGCGTGAGGGATTCAGATGTCAAAAGTTTAGATGATGTATAAGTGTGCTCTGCAATTCTAAACATATCTTATTTATAGCACTTCTGGCTCAGGTAGGGAATTACAATATTCACCTGCCACTTATGGCAGGTAACAACCCACTTAAGTTTGTTCTAATGGGCATAAAAAGGCCAAACTGTTTTATCTCATGTTAGAACACCATATCTTTACTTACCCCTCATGTGGAGCCACAATATACCGATAAATTGCATCCGCAGAGGTCTAATCGACTTCATTCAAAACCTTACTGAAATTGAAAATTTTTTCTAGGCCAAAAAAGTGTAAATAAATTTGATGCAAAAAATTTATAAGGGTTGGACCCAAACCCAACACCGGCCCGGACCATCCAAGTCCAACTCATAGTTCAGTGGTAAAGAACCAAAGATTCTAGATACAAGGCCAAAGCCAAGGCCAGTGCCCGTGCAGAGCCGCCAGGCCGACCGACAAGCAGGCGCACAAGTGGCCGAAGCCAACACCAATACTTGGTGTGGTACATAATTTAGTTGTTCTCATGACTTCTCCAACTCTTAAACAAGAATAAAGAGAGTTATTGTTATTCAAGAATCTGAGATAGATATTGAATCCAACAATCAAGGTTCAAGTGCCTATTAATTTCTAATTATTGATTTCTCACTCCACAAAAATTAGATTGAAAAAATAAATATACCATTAGTATCTATTATAAACATATAATATTTTCTACACAAATTAATTCAATGGAAATTATTTTTTTTTTCCCATAAAAAAATTAGTCAATACCCGATAAAAACTTGTTTTTCATAACATGATATTGTAGCAATATTATATTAGCTTTAGCGATCAATTATTTGAAAACGGTCTGTAACATAATTGATTTCTAAAGGAACCACGACCCCAGTTGACTGTTAACGTTTCTCTTTTGAGGAACAATCCTGTTTCCCGTCTCAAAGGCATTTTTATGCATCCTATTTAGTGTTCAATTCAATAATGTTCACCTACTCACGGTGGGCACATATTAATATGTTCACCGTTTATGTGGTATGCACACATTGGTGATGTTAATATGTTCAAAAAAAATACATCACTAATGTGTGCATGTCACATAACCAGTGAGCATATTAAAATGTGTCCACCGTGGGTAATGGAGATTACTCGTGTTCAATAATCAAATTAGTGAGATTATTGTTAGGTGTTTAATAGTTAGAAAATTATAATTTTTGAAAATATATTATTGTATTTTGAAACTTAAATATCACATTTAAACAAATATATGATATTTGATAGGTCGAAAAATGTGCATGTTTTATGTATTTAATAGTGTATTTTTATATGCTTAATTTATTCGCATGTTTGTATTTTTCAATTTATTTACACCTACTTTGATATTTTATTATCTATTTTAAGCAATTTGAAGAATATTCGGAGAGGTCAATGGATAAGACACTAATATTGTGAAATCGGGCCAAGACGAAAGATTTGGGCCCTAAATTAAATTCAGTTATTTGGGCCCAAGAAAAATGAAGCTCACGAAATTAATGGATTGGAGCATTTTGAGATTTATTTGCTGGGGAATAAAATACTTTTGGCAAGCAGCAGAGCACACGCATCAACATGAAATTATTTGGAGGACTTTGATTAATTAGGGACACTTGGATTTATTTTAAGGAGCTGCGACGCATATCGGGGGGATTTTTTATTTTTTTACGCGAACAGAGAAGAAAAAGAAGAAGGGAGCCGATACAAAGGAGAAAAAGACACGCACTGCACGGACCGGGGAAGAAGGCTACACACGCGGAGAGAAGTCGCACTCGTACACGAGAGAGATTTCATACTCTCTTCTTTATCTAGTTTTATTTTTATTAGTATGTTAGAGTAGTATTTTTATCCAGTTTTAGGAATGTTTGAACTCTAACTTGAATTTGCCTATGAATTTAAGGATTTGAATTTATCGTTGATTAACCGAAACGTCGCAGGCATCAGCCTGCCTCCTTCCTTTGTCAATATATGAGTCATATCAACAATGTATAATGTTTATGAATTATGATGTTTGATATAGTTTGGCTAGCTACGTTGAGTATTCATTGTTTAGTTGCTAGAGACGAGACTTTAATCCGTAATTGTTATTGTCTTTGTTTCGTTAGTAGTAAACTAGGGGTCGTGCATCTCTAGGGAGAACATAAGTTAAATGGTCCGAGCTTATGTGTCCGTTGCTTAGACTGATCTATTTTCTTAATAATTAATGCTGCTAGTGCACTAAATCTAGAGAGCTTATTCTAGAATGTCCACTAGTTAGGTTTAGTCGAAGAGCCGATTTCGATTAAATAATCGGTAAGAGAAAATTCGGTTAACAGAGCTTGTTGTTAGCTAGGATTGGTAATTCGTTAGCAATTTAAAGAAGACGTCGAAATTATTAACGGTAGATTGAGATTGAGTGCTAACTGAACCGAAAATTGGACTTCTCTCATTTTATTTGATTTTTTTTTTTATTTTTATTTTTAGTTTTATAAATCAATCCCCCCTTATTCGCTTTCTTAGTTTTAGTTCAATTAACACGAGATTGTCACAATTTAATTCCTGCTCCTCGTGGGATCGACCTTTACTCGCCACTACTACTAGTTAGTAGAGGTTTGTTAAGAAAACTTTATTAAATTTAAATTTGCCGCGTCGCGACGCGCGGTCAAATTTTGGAATAACATAAATGTCATTTTTATTTTTTTAATTGTTCTATTTTCTACTATTTTTGCCCAAACTTGCAAGTTCTTTAGAGTAATATACATCTGACCTGGCCAATCAACTCCCACAGGGTGGCGTTCCAAGAGGATGCCGTGGTTATGACTTGAGGAAAACTGGTGGCGCCGGGAAAATTGCCGCCGAACTTGACTCCGGGTCCCGTATTCGAAACTCCATGAAGGGCCTCCGACCACCACTCATAGCCCGTAATCCCCAATCTAGGCACGGGAGCCGCATTATTGACAAGTAACCTAATTTTTTCCGTCAAATTCAGTCTCCCGATTAAATCCCTTACACGATATCCTACACGGATGGAGGCATTGCAAAATGGGAAGGTTTTGGTCATGGAGTTGGTCGGGTCGCAGGCAAACGGCTGCCGGGACTTGCAAGTGAATAATGATAGGCCGAGGACCATAATGAAAATATGAAAAAATGTAATTTTGTATGCCATTGTAATCATAACACAAAATTAGGTGTATTTGAGTGTGTAGTTATAGTGATTGTGTGAAAGAGTGAAGGACAAGGTGCTTTTTATAGAGGTGTTTTGTTGATAGTAAGACATAGAGCTATGGGGGGAAAATGAAGAAAATTAACTTGTGTACCATGTAAAACAATAAATATTCGTTTTACAAATATTTTAACATCATTAGTTTTGAAAAAAAAAAAAAAAA